CCAACTATGGGGGGCACTATTCCTCCTCCCACTGACACCAACGATGGGCACTATTCCTCCCCCCACTGACACCAACAGATGGGGCACTATTCCTCCCCCCACTGACACCAACGATGGGGCACTATTCCTCCCCACTGACACCAACGATGGGGCACTATTCCCCCCCACTGACACCAACGATGGGGCAATTCCCCCCACACTGACACCAAACGATGGGGCACTATTCCTCCCACCCTCCAATCTGACACCACGATGGGGCACTATTCCTCCCCCCACTGACACCAACGATGGGGCACTATTCCTCCCCCCCATGACAACGATGGGGCACTATTCCTCCCCCCACTGACACCAACGATGGGGCACTATTTCCCCCCCCCTGACCCCAATGATGGGGCACCATTATCCTCCACTGACACCAATGATGGGGCACCAATTCCTCCCACTGACACCAGTGATGGGGCACTACTCCCCCCACTGACACCAGTGATGGGCACTATTCTCCCCCCACTGAACCACAGATGGGGCACTATTTCCTCCCCCACTGACACCAATGAATGGGCACTACTCCCCCCACTGACACCAATGATGGGGCACTATTCCTCCCACTGACACCAATGATGGGCACTATTCCTCCCACTGACACCAGTGATGGAGCACTACTCCTCCCCCACTGAACCAGTGATGGGGCACTACTTCCCCCCACTGACACCAGTGATGGGGCACTACTCCCCCCACTGACACCAATGATGGGGCACTACTCCCCCCCACTGACACCAATGATGGGGCACTACTCCCCCACTGACACCAATGATGGGGCACTACTCCCCTTCCACTGACACCAATGATGGGGCACTACTCCTCCCACTGACACCAATGTATGGGGCACTACTCCTCCCACTGACACCTGTGATGGGGCACTATTCCTCCCACTGACACCAGTGATGTGGCACTATTCTCTCCCACTGACACCATGATGGGCACTACTCCTCCCACTGACACCAAGTGATGGGGCACTACTCCTCCCACTGACACCAATGATGGGGCACTATTCCTCTCCCCACTGACACCAATGATGTGGCACTATTCCTCCCACTGACACACAGTGATGGGGAGCACTACTCCTCCCACTGACACCAGTGATGGGGCACTACTCCCCCCACTGACACCAGTGATGGGGCACTACTCCCCCACTGACACCAGTGAGATGGGGCACTACTCCTTTCCACTGACACCAATGATGGGGCACTACTCCTCCCCACTGACACCAATGATGGGGCACTACTCCCCCCACTGACACCAATGATGGGGCACTATTCCTCCCACTGACACCAGTGATGGGGCACTATTCCTCCCACTGACACCAATGATGGGGCACTACTCCTCCACTGACACCAGTGATGGGGCACTACTCCTCCCACTGACACCAGTGATGGGGCACTACTCCCCCCACTGACACCAGTGATGGAGACTACTCCCCCCTGACACCAATGATGGGGCACTACTCCCCCCACTGGACACCAATGATGGGGCACTACTCCTCCCACTGACACCAACGATGGGGCACTATTCCTCCCACTGACACCAACGATGGGGCACTATTCCTCCCACTGACACCAACGATGGGGCACTATTCCTCCCACTGACACCAACGATGGGGCACTATTTCCTCCCACTGACACCACAATGGGGGCACTATTCCTCCCACTGACACCAACGATGGGGCACTATTCCCTCCCACTGACACCAACGATGGGGCACTATTCCTCCCCCCACTGACACCAACGATGGGGCACTATTCCTCCCCCCACTGACACCAACGATGGGGCACTATTCCTCCCCCACTGACACCCACGATGGGGCACTATTCCTCCCTCCACTGACACCAACGATGGGGCACTATTCCTCCCCCCACTGACACCAACGATGGGGCACTATTCCTCCCCCCACTGACACCAACGATGGGGCACTATTTCCCCCCCCCTGACCCCAATGATGGGGCACTATTCTCCCCCCCACCACACTGACATCCCTAATGATCGGGCACTATTCCTCCCACTGACACCAAATGATGGGGCACTATTCCCTCCCTCGACACTGACACCAGTGATGTGGCACTATTCTCCCACTGACACCAGTGATGGGGCACTACTCCTCCCACTGACACCAGTGATGGGGCACTACTCCCCCCACTGACACCAGTGATGGAGCACTACTCCCCCCCACTGACACCAATGATGGGGCACTACTCCCCCCACTGACACCAATGATGGGGCACTACTCCCCCCACTGACACCAATGATGGGGCACTATCCTCCCACTGACACCAATGATGGGGCACTACTCCTCCCACTGACACAATGATGGGGCACTACTCCTCCCACTGACACCAATGATGGGGCACTATTCCTCCCACTGACACCAATGATGTGGCACTATTCTCCCACTGACACCTAGTGATGGGGCAACTACTCCTCCCACTGACACCAGTGATGGGGCACTACTCCCCCACTGACACCACAGTGATGGGGCACTACTCCCCCCACTGACACCAATGATGGGGCACTACTCCCCCCACTGACAACAATGATGGGGCACTACTCCTCCCACTGACACAATGATGGGGCACTACTCCTCCACTGACACCAATGATGGGGCACTATTCCTCCCACTGACACCAACGATGGGGCACTATTCCTCCCACTGACCAAACGATGGGGCACTATTCCTCCACGGATACCAACGATGGGGCACTATTCCTCCCACTGACAAAACGATGGGGCACTATATCCCTCCCACTGACACCAACGATGGGGCACTATTCCCCCACTGACACCAACGATGGGGCACTATTCCTCCCACTGAGACACCAGTGATGGGGCACTATTCATCCCACTGACACCAGTGATGGGGCACTATTCATCCACTGACATCAGTGATGGGGCACTATTCCTCCCACTGATACCAACGATGGGGCACTATTCCTCCCACTGACATCAGTGATGGGGCACTATTCCTCCCACTGACACCAGTGATGGGGCACTACTATTCATCCCACTGACATCAGTAATGGGGCACTATTCCTCCCCACTGATACCAACGATGGGGCACTATTCCTCACCCCACTGATACCAACAATGGGGCACTATTCATCCCACTGACATCAGTGATGGGGCACTACTCCTTCCACTGACACCATGACATGGCACTACTCCTCCCACTGCAAAAATTACAGTTATGAAGTAGCAATGAAAATAATTTTATGGTTGGGGGTCACCACAACATGAGGAATGTATTAAGGGGTCGCGGCATTAGAAAGGTGAGAACCACTGCTCTAGACCAAGGAGAAATGATCACCAATCAGAAAAGGAAAAACAACATGGAAAGGAGCACCAAACCATGGACCAAGTGAGAAGCTGATAAACCAGAACCCACCAAAATGGGGTGAACATACAACAAATTCCTGTTAGAAAAGAGACAAACCATAACCGTACTTGGTTAACAATGAATTTGATCAAGCCCCTAGTAGGAACAGACAGCAGCCAAGGAATTTAAAAAAAATATTAAAAGGAAAACAAAACTTGTTTAAGTAGGAAGGCCCCAAGCCTCTATAGAACTGACTCCATACAGTAGTTCCTTGTTTCTTACCCCCATGTCTAAAAAGTTGTCAGGACAGCCAACCACTTTAACAATCAAGACTTATCAGAGATGAACCCTTCTGACTAGAAACAACCTACAAGGGGCGAGGAATGGACTCCTGATTCCATTACAGAAACCCAAATTCCGTACCACAAAGCCAGCATGCCATTAAGGGGTAAGGCACATCTGCAACACACCCAACCAGATGTGAGATGAAAGTTAAAAGCCATAAAACTGATCAAATGGACTGAAACCTTGATGGAGCGGAAGATGAAGTTCGACACACTCGCACTAGCATGGTAGAAGCCCCTCTGGAACAAACCCTAAGAGGGATCCTGTTGGGAAAAAAAAAAAATCCTGCTAATTCTTAACTTCAAAGAAACAGGTGTAGGAATCTCCTTGACGAGTCAAGTGCTCCATGGATGTAGTTTCTGAGTCTCAGCACACTACTCTAAAGCTGCAGGGAGATAAGTTATTGACCCTGCAGAGGAAGAATCAAAAAATGCATACCTCTGTAATCACTACTTGTGAGGAATTGGGCGAGAGTTACTCACAAAGTCTTATGTGGGTACAGTAGAGACCCCTGATGACTAGGCACTCTCCTGATGGAGCTAAGCAGTCCTCCTAGGACGTACACCCTATAACCATAGGGTAGCAGGGTTCCATACATCAGTGCCCTCAGAGGGAACAGATTAAACATCTTGGGAACCATTTGGAGAGTGTCAGCTGGGTTTACAAATTGCAGCAGGACTGTTCTGTCTGTGTCTAGGTACAGACATACTGCAGCCACATGGCGGTAACACAAACTAAATTCAGAGTTATGAGGCCTCATGTGCTCACAAACCAAGGTAGCTGGTGGTCGCTAATGGCATGAAGGCAAGAAATTATTGTCACTGTAAAACGGACAGTAGGATAGGACCCACATGGGTAAGGGGAAATTTAGAAGGCAGCAATGTAAATAAAGTAGCTCCCAGTGCTCAAAAGTGAATCTTTAGCAACAGGGAAAGTGAGGTAATGCCAGCAGTTCTAGACCCAGGAAGTGCTTTGTGGCCAACTTGTTACCAGAACCCAATTCCCAAAGGTCACTCCCAGACTGGCGCTGCCACTCCAAAGCTTAAAGCAGCAAAATTTGACAGCATATGATTTTCTGTGTCCCTCAATAGACGAAAAAGAAAAAGGATTTCTCTGTCACACTACAGCATGTGAGCTGTACAGTTACATAGCTCAGGTAGGCTTCCACTAGACTGTACATACTTCTAAAACATGATGTTTAGAAATAGAAATGTAACAAACTGGTTCTGGCTTACGAAAGTAATTTTAGTGTTTTGAAGTGTGATATAAGTGGGAAAAAAACCTTCACCTACCTTCAAGTATGATCGAAGAGAAAGCCACATCTTAATATTCTGAACTTTCTTCAGGCGGAAATGTGGTACTTCAGACTTGCGTGCTCTCCGCGCAGAAGTCAAATGGCCAAATAATTTTGCAAACAGTAATCTCTGAAGAGATATTAAAAAAATATCTGTCACAGAACAAAGATGGCAAATGCATAAGCAGTGTTAATTTTGACATCACATTTCGGTTTAGTTTTAGTCAGTCTTTTGGCTAAAATACCATTTTAGTTTTAGTCATCTGCATTGTTTAATTTTGGTCGACTAAAATCTCCAGACAGATTTTAGCTGACTAAAATTGAATGGGTTTAGGTAAATTGTAATGCATTATTTAAGCCTTTCTCTGAAATTTCCAAACTCATTTTATAAATTATGTGTAAAGGCGTCCGCTGTCATGAAACGGAATATACGAATATGAATAGGACATGTAGTTCCAGGCGCCGAGTAGGTACTTTAGCCCTGTTGAGGGCAAGCAGCATGGCTCACCCGTCAGGTGGAAGCATTCAGGCGGCAGTGCTACCACCAATTGCTTCCACACAGTGCCAGCATCTACCCCCCCTGAAATCTCCCGGGCTTCGCTTGCCCATCTGTGGGCCTGGGACTGGCTCACTACTGTCGGCTAGAGGGGAGGGAGGAGAGCGGACAAATCTGCTCCCCTCATCTTCTCGTCTTGACTCGGAAGTGACGTTATATGACTTCCAGGTCCCTGTTGAAAGATTTCCTGGACATTACATGACCCTGGACAACCTGGAACAGTCGGAGAGACCTCAAATCAGGGACCTCTGTACTGATAAGAGCTGGGGGAGATGGGCAAGGAGGAGGAAGCTGGTACTCACAATTTAGGAAGCAGGGGAGCCTGGTCTCTTCCTGAATGACATCCAATTAGCTGGGGGGCGAGCCAGCACTGAGAGGGAGGGACCTGGGGACTGGGATGCATGGGAGGGACTCAGGGACATAGCCAGCACCCCTTCCCCATTCACTTTCAATCTGCTTCTCCACATCAGTCACAGAGAGCCGAGCGGGAAGAGCAACGATCACAAGGATCCACCGTACATCACACTGACCGAAAGCTGCTACCCTCAATCCATACCTCCATCCACTGCACTACCCCACTCCTCCATCCACCAGACAAATGATCATCCTCTACTACCCTGAGGGTAAACACAGCCCTGCAGGGAAGGGGGTGGGAGGAGCTGCAGATAAGGATCATTTTAAAAGCGGAGCTCCACCCAAAAGGGGACGTTTCACTTTAATGGCTGCTCCCTGTTAAGGACTGACGCCTGTGGGGAGCGGGGGGGACCCAAAATTGAAAGGCAACTATTCCCACTTCCAGCGCAATCGTTTTCCATCCCTCCCTGTAGTCTTCTGGGACACGCGACAGGCTCCAGAAGACTACGACATCTTTCAGGATGTGCAGTGCTACTACCGCATGTGCAGTGGGCACCCAGCTGTGAAGCCACAAGCTGTTATAGCTGGGTATCCACGATAAAGATGCCGGCGCCGGGAACACAGGACGGCAGCTGAAACATTCTGCGAGGAGAACACTGCGGGATCGAGGGACAGGCGAGTGGCTGTTAAAAGTCAGCCGCTACAGTTTTTGTAGCTGCTGGCTTTTATTTTTTTTACAGTTTCACTGCAACTCCGCTTTAACAAGCGGACGATTACCTGCTTATTAAGACTCCTGCTCTCTGTGCAGATCTCCAGAATCTCCCACCTCCTGTTCTGCTGATAGGATGACATCGCTGGCGAGGAGGGAGAGCAGGGAAAGGAGACACAGGTATGGTCACATGGCAGGGAGTGAGCAGCGACCGCGGGTCTGTGTTGGGCCCCATTCGGACCACGATCGCTGCTTACCTCCCACTGTGCAGCCTGGACATTTGCCTGGTGTGCCTATGGCCAGAGTCTGGGCCTGCTTGAAGGTATTGGTTTTAGTATCGAAGCATTTGCACAAGTACTCATGCAAATGCTTAGTATCGGCACCAACCAGACCAGGGAAACCCGTACAATAAAACTAATCACCACCATGGATATGACCATGATGTCACTGCTGGAGCCAAATGCAATGCTGTACAGTTCAGAAGCAGAGAGTGTTGCCAGCTGCTCCAAGTCCCTTGATTCAGACAGTCTAAATGCAAATGGAGTCAGACCCAGAATTAGAGAGATAAAGTTCCCAAAAATCTGATATCCAATTCCTGGGGTATAGTTGTTCACCTGAAATGTAAAGAATTGAAACTTTAGCTATTCTAATACACTGCATAACTGCTTGTTACATGGAGCAAGCAAAACAATAAGAACAATTCTTAAAAATGAATGAGGAACTGTGCTGTTCAAAGCAAACAGTTGTAAAGCGTTTCAGTCACCAATTTATGAAGTGGTTTGTAAAAAGAAACAAAAAAGAATTCAGAACATGTTTCCTGGAATGGTTATGGATGGAGATATGCTAAAAGTTCATAGGATAAGAATACTCACTCTGTTCATTATCATTCCACTGATCTCCAAAACAGACATATCTGCTTTCTTGCAGTCATTTCCTTCCCACACAATGGCACTGACTTTCTCAAGCCCAGGATTAGAACTGTGCAGCCAAGGTAGATGACTCTGTGAATCAGTAAAACATTATTAGGAAGTACATTTTATCACAGCACAAGGAATTTCTTATTAATCTAACCAAGGAACTTCAATACAATGCTATCCCAGTGACAGACCAAATTCTATTAAAGTTGCTGCAGTGATAATCCATAATGACAAGGTTTTTGTATATCTGTGGGATTAACTTAATGATAAAACCTCAAAAGCGGCCAATTAACAATCCAAACTGAGGTGAGTTCTAGTGGTAAAAATGCAAAACAATATAAAAAAGTGCTTAGTGCAATATATGAACAAAATAAGAATACAATAACTGCGTAAGACTTCAGTAGGAAATGTGTAAATATACTGTAAATCATGTGCAAATACAATCTGTATACTATGCAAATTTTTCCACAGTGCAGTCTAATCTCAAAATGATTTACTCCCAGGAGTACAACAGTAAATATAAGTGTTCAAACACATCCTCAGCAGTGCGACTCAACATACAGCAAATGCAGGAGGAAAAAAAAAAAAAAAAAAGACAATTCTGTTCCACCACCACAGGTGTAACCCCATGTAACAGACTCCCCAAATAGGGATGACCAGTTACCTAAATAAACTGGTAATACAAGTGCTGCTATTAAATGCAGTACTGGTCTCCTTCCTTCACAGGTTTTTGGCACTAGTTCCCACAATAAATAAATGAGGCAGAGTGTAACACCAATCAGACATTTACATACTTGCATGTGTTTCATATTGGTGTCTTGCACATAATAGTTGCACATTCATTGTATTCCCTGAGATCTATTGGTGGCTCTAGAACTTTTTCACTGCCTGTGATATGGCAACACTTAAAACAATTATTGTAGTAGCTGGCTGCTGCAGACTACCGTGCCTTGATGGAAGTAATTCAAATTAATGCAGACTCATATCACAGGATTTTTATGATAAGAGTCTAAATAAAATTGAATTTGTACTATATATGATCTGTTTTTTGGCCCTGTTCTCCTTTCACACTCAGTTTCTACTCGACCAAATGGCCAGTCATTATCTTCCATACCTGTGGGAGCTGCCTAAGGAGAATCGTTCCCTCTATACTAAAGACCTAACTGAGAACACCTACAGCTTTAAAGGAGAAGTTCAACTTTTGACCAAAAATAATAAAATGCACATTTTTTTGCAGGTAAAAAAATATGTGCATTTATTATTTTTGGTTACAGGAGCCTGTAAAGGATTGGTGCCATGCAGGTCTCCAGAAGGTCTGCCAGTATATTTGCTTGCCTGTACGGGATGTACGAGCAAGCAGATATACTGACAGGAAGATTCACTGAGAACTACAAGCTGACAGCTGCTAAGGCTGTTGGGACTTGTAGTTCATTCATTCACAGAACACTGTGCATGAATGACACGACCCTGTAGGCAGAGCCTCGCACGGCAGCTGTTTTCAAAAAGAAACAGCTAGCATGGGGAACTTCTCCCCATACTTCTGTCGGAGGGGCGGGGGGTTGCAGCATTGGGAACATGTTACATGTTCCATCCTAAAAATGGGTGGAACATGTAACATGTTCCTAAAGGTGAACTTCTCCTTTAAGAGATCCAGAGCTCCACACCTTTTGCCCTTAATACACTTAAAGTAGAATTTAATTCTTAACACCGCTAATATTGTAAATCACAGCACCCTCCACAAGAATAAAACTGGCCAAAGTAACCACCCAGTAAACCATTTTTATGAAGTTTTCTGTGTATTACTGTGTAGTCCTTTTCATCCCCCATCTTTCAAGAGGTCTGCCATTTGTTTTCCTCATACCGGCTTCTGCCCATAGGTCACAATATTCATGAATCTTGCACATACAAAAGAAGGATGAATACCATATCAGGAAAGAAGAGACTTTAGAGAGTAGAGCACCTTGCTGGAGATATGCTGGGATGAATGACAATAAAAACATGAAAAAGGTCTCCTTGAAGCAGACTGTGCAGCTCAAGATGGCACCAGGGGGTAATGGGGCGAAGATGCTGCTGCAAAATTAGAACCATTTATCCACCCTGTGCACTCAGCTCTGATCACATACAGGAGAGCAAAAATGTAACACTGGGGAGTCTGAATGCCATGACACCTTGACCTTCTGATTAAACTTCTAAACTATAGTGACAAGGATACCATTCAAAACCAGCTACAGACCACACTGACTTTACCACTTACTGACTTTTGAATCATTAACATCTTGCTGGCTTGCTCCCTCCCCCAAGTCTGTTACAGTTTTTTTTTTTGTTGGGGCAAGTACCAATCTTTATTGGTACCCTAACCCACTTCTGTAATCCTCCCCTGCCTGAGCTCACACATGTACAGTGGGAAGCCAGCTATGATACCTCAGGATGCTACCGCCGGCTCCTGTATCCAAAAAGGAGGCGCTGAGGACCCACACTGGTAAGAAGAACCAGCTGTGGGAAGACAACACTAGACCTCAAGCAATGGTAAGAACCCGATTTCTAAATTTCAGCAGTAAAAAAAAAAAAAAAAAAAAAAAAAGAACTATTTCAGAATATCAGGGCTTTAATCGAAATACCCCGCCACCATGGGACAATAAATTTCTAAACTGAATTATAAAGTAGAACTAAAGGCAAATCTTTATTTTTGGTTAGAGTATGGGAGGGTTGTAACCCTTGTCAAGGTTTTTATGCCATTTGTGTGCAATTGAGGAGATATCCCTTCATTTCCTGTCTAATAATCAAAATAGGAAGTGGGAGGAAAGTGTCACCAGATCTACTGACCCAGTTGGAAGAATTCCCATTTCTTAGGGTTCCAGGGAAAAAAACAAAATTTGGGATTTCGGCTTTCAGTTTTGATGAGAATGGCAAACATGACGAACAGCGTGGCTCCCCCCCTCCCCTATGGCTGTGACTGACAGCAGCGGAAGACAATGGATCCAGCTGCTGTGTCTGAGCCAATGAGGGAGAGACCTAGGAGAGCTGAAGCTTTTGTGCACATCGCTGGATCAAGATTGGACTCAGGTAAATAATAGGGAGGTGGAAGGGGAAGCTGCACACTGAAGGTTTTTTACCTTAATGCATAGGATGTATGAAAGTAAAAACCTTTAGCCTTTAGAACTACTTTAATTACTAGAAGGAAGGACCTCTTATATGAAGCAGACAGGCATGCATAACCTGGAGGCTTTAACTTCTCTAAAAACTAAAAAAAAATGCGCATATCTTGTAAAATCCAGATGAATATTTCACTTATAAAAGATTTACAAAATCATTAATTTTTTTGACAGCTACCTTATACAGCAATTGGGATCTTATACTAAATACAAAACTGAAAATGCATAATTAAACAGCACCCATAATCGAAAAAAGCAGAAAAACAATGAGTACCTGATGAAAAGGATCATCCCTATACTCCCTCTTCATGCATAAGTTGCCATGATTAGTGTCGGCATCTGTCTCACTGCTACAGGAGGAACGACATTCTGCACAGTGCAGCAAATCTTCCCACAAAACATCTTCAGTTTCTGACTCTGGTCTGGTGCTTTCAGAATCTTGTCGGGAACTCGAACAGCGGGAACTACAGCTGGTGCCTGATTTCTGCATATCCTAGAAGGTGACATAAATAATAATAAACAGTCAGAATCAGAGATTGTTGCTGGTCTCCTTCTGCTGCAATACAAAAAATTAAAAGGATTTCGAATCCACAAACATTTTCTCAAATATCATCTAATTATAAACTATATATTAAAAAAAAAAAAAAAAAAAAAAAAAAAAAAACAAAAAACTTTGAAATTGTTTCTATTTTATTTTCTTGCTTGGGTACTATAAGTAGCCTATGAAAGCTATGATTATATATTCGTTATGGACAATAAGAAAATACAGCAAAATTAATAAGCAACATTTACAGTTGAGCTCATAAGTTTGCATAACCTGGTAGAAATCGTGAAATTTTGGAATTGATATTGAACAAATCACTGATCATATAAAAAAAAATGCTTATTTAAAAGATAGTGATCATATGAAGCCATTTATTACCACATAGTTGTTTGACTCCTGTTTAATTATAATAACAGAAATCACCCAAATGGCCCTGATCAAAAGTTTACATACCCTGGAATGTTTGGCCTTGGTACAGACATACTAGGTGACACACACGGGTTAAAATGAGAATTAAAGGTTAATTTCCCCACATATGTTGTTTTTTACATTGCAATTAGATGTGTATAAAAATGTTCATGAGTTTACATGGATGCACTGAGCAGGCTAGATACTGAGGGATGGGGAGCAGAAAAAACTGTCAAAAAATCTGCGTAAAAAGGTAATGGAACTTTATAGAGATGGAAAAAGATAAAAAAAATCTCCAAAGCCTTGAATATATCAGTCAGTAAAGTTCAGGGATCCCTTGATACCAAGCCAAGGTCAGGTAGACCAAGAAAAATGGCTGCCACAAGTGCCAGAAGAAGTGTTCAGGATACAAAGAAAACGCCACAGGTGACCTCAGGAGAAATACAGGCTGCTCTGGAAAAAAATGATGTGTTTGTTTCAAGGAGCACAATACAACGATACTAGAGCAAAAATGGGCTGCATGGTCGAGTTGCCAGAAAGAAGCTTTTACTTTGTCAATGCCACAAAAAGCCCAGTTACAATATGCCTGACAACACCTTAATACACCTCACAGCTTCTGGCACACTGGTATCTGGAGTGGTGAGACAAAAATAGAGTTTTATAGTCACAACCATAAGCGCTATGTTTGGAGAGGGGTAAACAAGGCCTATAGTTAAAAGAATACCATCCCCACTGGGATGCAATAATAATGACTATTGATGATTGGGGGGTGAGCTATAAAAGGCACAGTGAATCTTGTGAACATTATTGGCAAAATAAATGCAGCATGTTATCAGAAAAATACTGGCAGATAATTTTCATTCTTCTGCGCAAAAAGCTGCGCATGGGATGTGCTTTGCCTTTCCAGCATGACGATGACCCTAAGAAAAAGGCCAAGTTGACCAGTCAGTGGTTACAGCAGAAAAAGGTGAAGGTTCTGGAGGGGCCATCACATTATACTGACCTTAATATCATCAAGCCACTCTGGGGAGATCTCATGTGTGGTTCATGCAAGATGACCAAAGACTTTGCATGACCTGGAGGCATTTTGCCAAGACGAATGGGCAGCTATGCCACCTGTGAGAACGTGCGACCTCATGGACAACGATTACAAAAGACTGCAGCACATGGTCACTGTTAAAGGGGGTACTACACAGTAGTAAGAACTAAGCATTTGTAGACTTTTGACCAGGGGTCATTTCAATGGTTTACTTGTTGCCATGTTTGACCCAGCTGTCTTGGTCCATGTTGGAACAAATGACAGAATACATGGAAGGTGGAAGCTCCTTTAGAATCAATTTAAAGAACTAGGCTGCAAGTTGAAGGGAAGGACCTCCAAGGTGATATTCTCTGAAATATTACCTGTGCCATGCGCAACTCAGGAAAGACGGGGAGATTAGAGAACTAAATGCATGGCTAAAGGCCTGGTGTAAATGGGAAGGATTTGGGTTTCTAGAGCACTGGGCTGACTTTTCATTGGGGTGCAACCTATATGCTAGAGATGGTTTGCACCTAAATGGAAGAGGGTCTGTTGTGCTGGGGGAGAGGTTTATGTGGAGGCTGGAACAGTATTTAAAATAGGATCGAGGGGGAGGGAGAATTAGATTATAATGGTGCAGCCAGATCAGGCAAGGGGTCAGTCCTTATTGGTGGGTGGAATGGGAAAAGATGGGGAGAGGGCTATGGCAGATCAGAAGGTTCCCATGTAACAAACAACCATTGGAACTGGTACCATTTGTATGAAAATAAAATATATGCAAAATGCATATGCACAAGGAGTCAATGAATTAAAGTGTTTGTTCACCAATGCCAGAAGTCTGCCAAGCAAAATAGGTGAGTTGGAAGCTTTTGTGCATGAACAGAACTATGATTTAATTAGTATTGCTGAATCTTGGCTTCATTCTTCATTAATATTCCTGGCTAAGTTCTGTTTCTGAGAGACAGGGTAAAAAGGAAAGGTGTTGGTGTCTGTATCTATGTGAGAAGTGATCTCAAAGCAAGTGTGAAACAGGATCTAGTTGATGGAGAGTGTGATAAGGCTGAAGCATTATGGGTGGAACTACACATGGGGGTGTACTACAAAGGTGATCATTGGAGTTTATTATAGGCCTCCCAGTGTTAATGAGGAGGTGGAGACTCAGCTCCTTGCACAGATTGAAAGGGCTGCAAGGGCTGGGACAGTGACAATAATGAGGGATTTTAACTACCCGGAAATTGACTGGAGTAATGGTACTGAAGGAACAGTCCCACACTCCAAAGACATGCTGGTAGGTACCGTATTTTTCGCTCCATAAGACGCACTTTTTTCCCCCAAAAAAGGGGGGAAAATGTCAGTGCGTCTTATGGAGCGAATATAAAGCGGCCGGTCCGGTATTTCTGCCGCCACCATGTCAGAATACCGGGCCGGCCGCTCAGCTGTTCTCTCTTACAGGGCCTTACTTGTTCCTCGCTCCAGCGCTGCACAGTCTTCCCGCGCTGGCTTCTGTGACAGCCGGGTGCCCACTGCGCATGCGCTTCGCTTTGTGAATGGTCCGGTGTCTTCTGGGACACATGACAGGTCCCAGAAGGCGCCGGGCCATTCACAAAACGCAGCGCTTCTCGCACATGCGCAGTGGGCACCCGGCTGTCACAGAAGCCGGCGCGGGAAGAAGAGAGAAGGACAACGCCGCAGAAGTGGGAGCGGGTACCTGTCAAATTCAGGTACCCGCTCTCCCTCCCCAAAGGTCAGCAGTCTCTGGTCATCTCCTTTACTGTCTGCAGTCTCTGGTATCCCCTGCACTGTCTGCAGTCTGGTTATTCCCTGCACTGTCTGCAGTCTCTGGTCATCTGTACTATGTCCGCAGTCTCTGGTCATCCCCTGTACTATGTCCGCAGTCTCTGGTCATCTCCTGTACTGTGTCCGCAGTCTCTGGTCATCTCCTGTACCGTGTCCGCAGTCTCTGGTCATCTCCTGTACTATGTCCGCAGTCTCTGGCCATATCCTGTACTATGTCCGCAGTCTCTGGTCATCCCCTGTACTGTGTCCTCAGTCTCTGGTCATCTCATGTACTGTGTCTGCAGTCCATTGGTTCAGAATTTATTTTCCCCTGTTTTTTGCCTCTAAAACCTAGGTGCGTCTTATGGAGCGAAAAATACGGTAATTGGATCCTGTCTAAATTGGCCCTAATATGTGTATGTATGAATGTGAGTTAGGGACCTTAGATTGTACACCCCTTGAGGGTTAGGGACTGATGTGAATGTACAATATATATATGTGTGTAAAGCGCTGCGTAAATTGACGGCGCTATATAAGTACCTGAAATAAATAAAAAAAGGGCAAAAATATATAAACCTACTACAGGACATTTTTATGGCACATTTCATAGAGGCCCCAACTAGGATGCTTTGCTGGACCTAGTAATCTCAAACCATGCAGATCTTATTAAAAATTTCCATATAAAAGAACATCTGGGTAGCAGTGATCATAACATGATTTCATGTATTGTTCGCTGTAAACATCAAGCACATACAGGAAAAATAAAAGCGCTCAACTTTAAGAAAGCGAATTTTCCAGGGATGAGAGCTGCTCTCCAAACCTGAGACTGGGAGGGAATATTGGTCTTGAACACAACACAAAAATGGGATTCTTCATAAAGACTGTATGTGAACACACTGCAAAATATATTCCTATGGGCAACGAGTTTAAAAGGCTAAAAATCAAACCTATGTGGCTTACGGCCAAAATAAAAAAAAGCTATAGATAATAAGAAATGATCTTTCATTAAAAATAAAAATGAAGGAACGCTATCGTCGTTTAAACGTTATAAAGAATATAACAGAAGATGCAAAAATTGAAAATGAAAACGAACGACAGATTGCAAGAGATAGCAGGACAAACCCCCAAAAATTCTTCAAATATATTATTAGTAAAAAGGTTTGGTCCGAGCATGTAGGCCCTTTACAAAATAATCTAGAGTGGGTGACTAAGGGAAAAAGAGAAGGCAAATTTATTAAATACCTTCTTCAGCTCTGTGTATACAAAGGAGCATGGGGGAGCTCTTGTCCATAATGGGTATGGTATTGACACAGCTCCAGTTGATTCACATTGGCTCACAATTGATATTATCCAGAAATATTTAGACAGAATAAAGGTGAATAAAAGCACCTGGACCAGATGGCATACACCCATGGGTCCTTAACCACTTGCCTACAGGGCACTTATACCCCCTTCCTGCCAAGGCCAATTTTCCGCTTTCAGCGCTGCCGCACTTTGAATGACAATTGCGCAGTCATGCAACACTGTACCCATGTGAAATTTTTATATATTTTTTTAAACAGATAGAGCTTTCTTTTGGTGGTATTTAATCACCTCTGTGTTTTTTATTTTTTGCTAAACAAACCAAAAACTGAAAATTTTGAAAAAAAAAAGTTTTTTCTTAGTTTTTGTTATAAAATTTTGTAAATAAGTGATTTTTCTCCTTCACTGATGTGTGCAATGAGGCTGCAGTGATGGGCACGGATAGGCGGCACTGATGAGGCACTGGTAGGTGGCACTGATGGGCATTGACAGGCAGCACTGACTGGCACTGATAGGTGGCACTGACAGGCAGCTCAGATGGGCACTGATATGTGGCATTGATGTGCTCTGACGTCCTCCCAGAACGAGAGAACCGCCTTGCGCCCGTCATTACCTGTCATTTCAAAGCCATTGTTTCTCATTTTTAGGGACTCTTTAATGACTGGCATAGTACCACTGGATAGGTGTAAGGCCAATGTGGTGCCTATACTTAAAAAGGGGTTTAAAATCTTTACCAAGTAATTATAGACCTGTTAGTTTAACTTCCATAGTTGGGAAGATACTGGAGAGTTTAATAAAAGACCACACTGAGGAGTTATTGCTGGAAAAAATATTTTAAAAGCAACAGACAGCATGGATTCATGAAAGACAGAAGTTGTCAAACAAATCTGATTCCTTTTTATGAGGTGAGCAAAACCTTGGACAGAGGGGTGGCGGTGGATGTGGTATACTTGGATTTTTCAAAAGCATTTGACACAGTTCCCCCACACACGTCTAATGTGTAAGGTAAAGTCTACAGGCTTGGAAAAATCTGTATGTAAATGGATAGAAAACTGGCTAAAAGATCGTCTTCAGAGAGTAGTGGTTAATGATTCATACTCTGAATGGTCTAGGGTTGTTAGTGGTGTACCCCAAGGTTCAGTGTTGGGACCCTTACTTTTTAATATATTTATAAATAATATAGGGTCTGAGATTAAAAATCCCATTTCAGTCTTTGCAGATGACACCAAGCTGTGCAGTGAAATAACGTCCTTACAGGATGTCTCCAACTTACAAGCTGACCTCAATGCACTGTTTAATTGGACAACTATGTGGCAAATGAGGTTTAAAGTTTATAAATGTAGTGTTATTCACTTGGGGGCTAAGAATATGCATGCATCATACATACTAGGGGGGGTACAACTGGGGGAATCAATGGTGGAGAAGGATCTGGGAGTTCTGGTAGATCACAAGAGGGGGGGGGGGGGGGAACGGGTACCCGAATTTGACAGGTACCCGCTCCCACTTCCGCTGCAATCGCCTACGTGATCAGAAACGGAAGTTGTCCTCCTACCCTCCCTCCCCGAAGTCTTGTGGGACACGTGACAGGTCCCAGAAGAAAAGAGGGCCATTCAGGAAGCGCAGCGCTACTCGAGCATGCGCAGTGGGCACCAGGCTGTGAAGCCGCAAGCTGTCACAACCAGGTGCCCACAATGAAGATGCAGGCCTCCTGGAACACAGGACGGCCGGTGAAATGGGCTGCGGCGGGGGCAACGTGGGATCGTGGAACAGGTGAGTGGCTGTTTTTTAGCAGGCAGCTGCTACAGTTTTTGTAGCTGATGATTTATTTTTTTTACAGAGTGAGTGGAACTCCACTTTAAAAGGGGGGATATGATCAACATGTATAAATACATCAGTGGTTCATATAATGAACTCGGGGTAGAGTTATTCACCCTGAGGTCATCACAGAGGACAAGGGGGCACTGTTTACATCTGGAGGAAAAGAACTTTAATCTCCAAATACGGAAAGGTTTCTTCACAGTAAGATGTGAGAATGTGGAATAGACTCCCTCAAGAGTTGGTTCTGGCCAGCTCAGTGGATTGCTTTAAAAAGGCCTGGATACTTTCTTGGATACACAGAATATAACGGGATACTAACATTTATAGGTAAAGTTGATCCAGGGAATATCCAATTGCCTCTCAGGGGATCAGGAAGGAATTTTTTTTTTTTTCCCTGCAGGAGTAAATTGGATCATGCTTTGCTGTTTTTTTTTTGCCTTCTTCTGGATCAACTACGGGTGTAGAGTTATAACTTTTTTTTTTTTATGGTTGAACTGGATGGACTTTTGTCTTTTTTCAGCCAGACTAACTATATAACTATATATGTTTTTAGTATTGTGCCATTCTATAGTTATTTTAAACACCTTCAGCAGCTGATTTAATCACTTGCCGAATATGCATTTTATTTATCTTTTAGTTCTCTGCCTAGGTTTCAGTTTATGTAGTTCCTTTCTTTTGCAACATCCTTTGGACTCTTGCGCATGTAAGGAATAACATATCTCCTTATGCCGCGTACATAAATAGAAAAACACAGCGCCGTAGCCTAGGATGGCAAAGCACTGATCTGCTCTTCCCTTCTCTTCATCCCCCTTCCTTCTTCAAGATAATGTACTGACTCAAGACTACATTGTCCACTATTAACACTTTCCTGTGAAGACCAGATGTTCAGGGAAGCAGTACAGAGAGCGAGCAGGAGCCAGCAGCATTAATCCTAGGTATACAATAATGCGGAGCAGGAAACGCTGCGGTCACATTTCCTGCACTGCATTTTAACTACACTGCTCTTGCAATCTGCTGCAGGTGTCAATGCAAAGTTACAACACCCCAAACACAGGTCGCAAACACATGGCACAAAACAACCAGGAAAATAGGTATCAGATTAGAGATCTAATCAATAGTTCCAGCTCTAGGGTAATATATACTGTATAATATATACTGTATATCCTTACCTGCCGTGTGACAAGATTTATATTGGTAAGAACAAAAGGTTTAGAATTCGGATAGGTGAGCATATGTGAGAAATTAAAGAGAAAAATCCTGAGAAGCCCTTAGCCAAACATTTCTGGAAGGTTCACGGGGGTAATTTAGATGGTATGAAAATCAAGGGCATATATGCCCTTAAATTATCACCAAGAAAGGGTGATTTTATTATGGTACTACTCAGGAAGAATAAATTGTGGATATACACATTGAAGTCATTGGTACCACTGGGTTTGAATAGTGAGATGAACCTCCAGGTATTTCTGGAGGAGTAAGAAAATAGAAGCTGGTTTACCAACCTTCCCTGCTTGGTCTCATCTATTATTAAATTCTCCACTCCCCTTTTCCATTTTCTTTAGATTGGTTGATAGATTAGGTAGGTGTATTCAAGTAACTATAGAGATTATAGTGATTTAGGGAAAGGTAAAACCATTACACAATCTGTGCACATTTCCCGCACTGCATTCTAATTGCAATCTGTTGCGGTTGTCAATGCAAAGTTACGACGTAGGAAACGCAGTGCGCTTGCCTGCACAGGATTGCATGTCACAAAATGGCTATGTGATCCGGTTGCGGTGAGGCTCCCAAAAAAGGTAACTGCACATCTTTGGTGCAATGCACTGAAATTTTAGCCCATTCAATGTAAAAAATTACACAAATTTCTGTTTTCTTTTCTTCAATTTCTATAGATGAGCTTCTAGACTTTTTTCCTTTCCTTTGACTATATATACTGCAAGTTCATGGTACTGTACGCGGATAGCATAAGAACTTGGGAAAGCTTAACCACTTTGTGTCATTCATCCCTTTTCTTGACACCCTTAAGCACAATCTGCCTTATAGCAGAAAGCCCAATAGTTGGATTCAGGTCCTGGGATTAATGCTGAACCATAGCGGTGAATGACAGCTGATTGTGTCCAGCACTAATCTTCGTGGGGACCTGTAGGAGCTGCTTAGTATCGGTGCCATTTCAAAATGGT